CCGCCACGTGGGAATAATTTAGAACTAGCCAATAATGGGGAACGAATTTACATGCGGGTGGCGGGAACTCTTTTGCACCGTGCATTTCTCTTGCAACTTGAGCAATGCACCCTGCAAAAGAAGCTGCAAAGAGGCGGAAAACTCGTCCTTGCACCAGGGTTCTCCTCTGCAATAGGAAACTCTCCCGTGCAATGAAGCTGTAACCTGGCAGGGATAATTCTGGTGCCGAAGCACACATAAAATCATACATTTGGGTTATGACAGGAGATAAGGATCTCCCTGCTTCTCTATCTGGATGACTGAGTTGGGGGTTGAGAGATAAAGATATCCCAGCCCCAACTTGTAATCTCAGCAGGGTACTTGGAGCTCCTTGCTGCTGGGGCAGGGGGACAGTCTCTGCCTGGGCTCCAGTGGTGGAGCCCACCCCGGCAGCAGGCAGTACCTGGGGACAGGGACAAATCTCCCACCCCCTTGGTGGACAGCTGCCCAGGAACGGATTTGCTCCCAGCCAGTTGTCTACACAAGCACTACTGTGCCATTACTAATCGAAAGTATATTTGCTACTTGCATTTGCCGGTAGCAAATTTACTCGCAATACACCAGGTTTACTGTGTAGTAAGCATGTCCATGTGTAGATGCACGTTTACTTCACAATAAACTACGTTGCTGCACAGTTAAGCATTTTGTGTAGACGTGCCCAATGAGTGAGAGATTAGGGTGGAGACCAGCTAAGAGAGGACTTGAATGTAAAGACAGATTGCCTCTGTTTTCAAACACAAGCTAAGGCAGTGGATGCAGGAAAAATGAAGCACAGACTGGAATCTATGGCTTTGCATGGCATGTGCATGCCCATCCCCTTTCAGGGTGGGCAGCTGCCATACCATGCTGAGCTCAGGAGGAGATATGAACCCACAGCCAGCTAAAAGCAGGTGCTTCTGCCCAGAGGGGGCAGCCACAGGCAACCTTGAGTCATACCCTTCCACCTCCCCACAGCAACACCCAGCCCCTAGAGCCACCATGGCTGAACAGCCTTATCTTTCTACATCCATGAGTAGAGCAGAGGCATTTTAAAATAGAGAACAAATAGCAAATGAGTACCTGCTTAGGCAAGCCAGGGATCTTGAACTCAGGACTTTGGGCTTTGGAAGGTCACTGCTCCTAACTACCCCAAAAAGGGTGGAAGGAGGAAAAAGGAGAAACTATTCATGGACTCTGTTTAGCCTATAGCAGTATTTTCAAAGCTATAACCCTAGCAGGAACACTTAGATGACAGTTCATGAGTAAGATGATTACAGGTCTGGGGTTGCTCCCCTAACCATGTAAAGCTACTAGGTAAGCTTTCACTTGGGATGTAGGAGAGCAGTTTCAAATCCTGGTCTGCCTGAACTAGAGCAAGGATTTAATCACGTCTCTCATATGCCAGATGAATACTCAGATTGCCGGTGGCTCATAGTCACCTAGAACTGTTTTACTGTGAATATTTACAGAGTAGCTGTAACAGAAATGGACTCATCCCAAATAGTAGCTTGGTTGCTTCAACTGCAGTGACTACTACTCCCAGCCTTTAGCTTACAAGTATAAAAGGCTTCAATCTTACTCAGATGGAAGAAAGAAAAACTTCAGACGGAAATGTTAGAGCCAGTTTTCATGAATAGACATGAGATACAGGAGCATATCAGCCTAGGAACAAATCTTTGTACTCTGAGGTCAGACATAGCTCCAATTACTACCATTTAATAGTATGGTGAGATTATAACTCCCTACACACTTTTTTAGTTAAGGGACATCAATTTGAAGTCTTGTTAAAAAGTTAGCTTCAGTAATTAGTTACCCCTGCCTGCCTTTTAATATGCAATTAAAGCCACTTTAGGGTTTTACTCTTGTTTTCAGTGCATCTGGCACATAAAACAAGGCAAACTAATTGTATAAAGGGAAACTGATGCTCATGTACACTTAATGAGGTTATAAATAAATAAAAGTAGCCTCTAACTGTGGCGGCCAAAATACAGCCCATGGGCCAGATGCAGCATGCCAGGCATTTTCATTCAGTCCAAGGCACCCCCCAAATTGCATCCCACCCAGCCCTTCTGCCTACAAGGCACCCATGTGTGCACCCCCCACCATACCTTGTGGGTGGAGTGGCCCTGCCCAGCCAGCAGCAGCTTCCAGGCAGGGCTGCTGCTGCCCCTGCTAGAGTCACCCCCATGGGAGTCTGCTTGGCTTCACCAGCTTCCAGCTCTCCAGGCAGCAGGTGGGGAAGTGGTGGGGGCTGGGGCCCAGGTGGGGGCAGTGGAGCTGCAGCTACAGCTAGGTGGAAGGAAGGAGAGCAGCACAGAACCCACACCCAGGGGGACAGGCTGAGAGAAGGAGGCTGGGGGTTGTAGGGACCCCTCACGCACTCCCCCACGTGGAGCACAGCCCCTGCTGCCCACAGCAGCAGCAGGCAGGGGACTCAGGGTGCTTGTGGCAGAGCACAGATCCAGCCAACGCTGCGTGCAGGGGCACAGCCTGGCTCACCACTCCACTCCGTGCCGTGTGCCTGCAGTTCCTGCGCTCAGTGGCTGAAGCCCTGCACTGGAGCCAGCTGCCTTCCCTGCCTCCTGCTGTGCAGGTCTGCAGTCCGGGAGTGGAGGAAGCTCTGCCTCCTACTTCCCTGCAGAGACCAGTGTGGGGCTTCCCCAGTGTGAGCGCGGGAGCTGCAGGCGCCCCCCAGATCCCCCACACAGTGCTGGCAGGAGCATCCACCCCCCACCCCACCTTCTGCTGCTGCCAGCAGCAGGGGCTGCACACCAGTTCAGGGAGTGCGTAAAAGGACCCCCACCCCCCCTCACAGCACAACTCTGCCCCTTAATGACACCTCACTATACCCTATGCCCCCCACCTCCCACCATACACACAAGTGTAAGACTTTATTTTTTAATTATTATGCAATCACCTCTATATACACTACACAAATCATGACAAAAATATTTTTTGTAATAAAATCTGTCATAGTGTTTGATTTTAGTGTATGAATTGTTTTTTTCTAGTTCTAAGATGGCAACCCCCCCCTCCCAAAAATAGTATTTGGTGGGAGGGACTTCTGGTGGCAAAGGTCAGGGGTTAAGGGGTAGAACCAAATCATATACTGAAAATATCAAACTTCTATAACCTATTTTAATTTTATTTTTAAAAATATCTTTGTCCCGATATATGCAAGTTTGTACTGTGTATCTTGAGGCAATTGCATCATAGCTCAAAATCCAGTCTTACTCTTGTATATTGTGGGAGGAGGGGTAAGGGGGTGTACGGTTGGAAAGTGGGTCCGTGCGTGGTAGGGGCATTAGAGGGTATGGTGGAGGTGCTCCATAGCATTCAGTTCCTGTGCTCCCACCCCAGTCCCTGGCCTTACATGGTGGCAGTGTGTGGGGCCAGCCTCAACCAGCCCCATAGTGCATAGCTCCTGCACTCTTGCAGCATGCAAAGCACATGGATCCCCTTGCTCCTGGCCCCCTTCCCCCTCACCCCCAGAGGAGTTCCTGGTCCCAGCTCGGTGGGGCCCTTACCTGAATTCCAAGGCTCACATGGATGGAGGATGGTAACAGCCACAGGGTGGCTAAGCGAAAGCCTTGGCCAGGCAGAAGCTTCTTATCTCTAGGACCCCCTCGCCCCAGGCTGGGGTGGTGGTTGCTTAGCAACCAGAGTCACACCACCTCCATGGACGCACCAGTGTGCAGAGGGGCAGCGAGGGCCAGTGTTTACAGTGGGCTTATGGAAGGGCCCTGTGGGCCAGATGGTATTGCCTGGTGGGCTGTATCTGGCCCATGAGTCGTATTTTACAAGCCCCTGTGCCTACCACCCCTCGTGCGATATGGCGGCCAGTCCGGGGGGGGGGGGGGAAAAGAGAGAGAAAAGGCTCTCCCACTGTACCACTTAGATGGTTCACCCCAACAAATCAACCCCCAGATCCTTTTCTCCAGGTATGCCCCCCCTACCCTTGGATCACTGCCCTGCTACCCCAATCAGCCTGAGAGTAGCAGATGCAGGGGCAGCAGCAGCAGGTACAGAGTCCCCCCATCCTGCCTGCCCCTGGGGTCCCTCCACATGACACTACCCTTGCACAACCAGATTCAGCCTCTGCCAGGTCTGGAAGCCAAAGGGGAGACAGAAGGGAAGGGGGAGTTGGAGGTGACAAGGAGACACCATTGCTTTCAGGCTCATTGGGGTGGAAGGTTAGTTATCTGGGGGTGGAGGGGCAAATCTAGGGGTTTATAGGGGCCAGCAGGGAGAAGTGGGGGGCTCTTCCTCTGTAGCCTTTACTGTTTACAGAGTTGGGGAGCGGGGCAGGCATGAAGATGTGCAGCCTTAGCCACATCCCTGTTTGCAAGCCCTCTAGTGGCTCATCAGAGCAGTGCACATTAGAGAGGGTATTGATCCCAAACATGTGACTGACAACAAGCACTAGTTAACCGTAATACAGACTAACATCCCTTACAGTTAGCATGTGCTAACTCTAATATGTAAATCTCAAAAGATAATCCTCAACTGAAGTGGCACACCTTTAAGGTGCCTCAAAGGCATTTAGCACTTGTTAGTAATCATTCATGTACAAGTGCTCATAATATGATCTAATTGTAAAGTGTCATCTCACCTTTATTAACCTCTATTAGTGTATTTTAAAATTGCAATCCTCTCAAGGGTGCCAAATTCATCCAGCCCCATGAGCTGGATAAGTGGCTCAGGGCAGCTCCACCATCTGGATGAGGCCCACAGAACCCCTCCTCCTCCCTACTCCCCTCTTACCAGATCTGGTGCCTGCTCCAGGATCCATACTGCACAAGTCTACCCATGCCGTGCAGTCCTGAAGCACCTAGAGTGGGCACCCCATGCTGCACACATCCCAGGCCCTGCCTCTGGAGCTGATCTGGCACATGCCATACCCCACATGGATGTGCTGAGACCCAGAGGCTCTGCTGGCCATATACTTGAGACACTTACTGTATCTAACATGCACACCAAAATACTTTTACTATGATTTTATTAGGTTATTCCTGAACTGTTTAAACATTAGTTAAGGCGACAGAATGTAGTCACATTTTAGAGTTACATTTTGTAAAATGAGAGCAGTAAAAAGATTCTAGTACAACATAAATCAATTTTTATCTGTACAATTTTCCATTTAAAATGCTTATTTATGGAATGATGCCAACATTAGCTACACTCAGTTTAACTGACATTCTTTTGTAAACAATACAGAAAAAAAACCAAACCAAACTAGCACTAATAATCATAACTCTAATATACTATTCCAACTATATTGTTGCAAACTGAAAGCTGTAAAAATACTTATTTGTTCAAAAAAAGAACATTGCTGTGCTTTTTATAAGTTTCAGCTAGGAAATGACTAGATCACCTAAAGATTACAATTACTTTCCTTTAATTGAAATGGCTTCTCATAATAGTAACATGACCCTAAGAAAGAAATCAGAACGTGATTAGTTTCACGTGTAAAACCAACATAAGGCTACAAAAGTCTTACTTTTTTTGCATGAACCAAGATAACATGTTGAACTGTAATATTCCCAGGCATAGAATATAATGCAAATGCTCAATGCAGCATCTCTCTTTTGGCCTCAAGAAAGGCTCATGTGCAGAATATAGAATTCGCTGAGTATAATAGCCCAAGTTTAGATGAGTGCCTATTACACAAATGGATACACAATGGCTCTGTTTAAACTTCAGGGATTGAGTGATCCATCAGGCTTTTCATAATGTTAGATGCCATCCTAAAAGAAAAAAAAAAAAATAGTAACTTTAGAACTTCTAGACTTTAAAGAATAGTTTTAGTGTAAAGTATTTTTTAGTTACTTTGTCTTAGCATTGAAAATGTTTAAAAACGAAGTTTTGCACAGACAAGCTGCTGTGTCACTACCAAGTGACCGTACAATTTACCGTTTACTCCAACACGTATATTGCTACAGAAAGTGATATTTATATATGAAAATAGGAATGTTTTTTCAAGAAGATGTATGCTGCCTCCTGTACCTGGCATGTTGACTACAGGAAAAAAAAACCTGCTAAACCACCACTAAAGGAATGTTTTTAAATACTCAACTTTCAAACCTGCCAATATGTAGCTAGAACAGGTAGAGCGGTTACTTACAGGAAAGAGGTGGCAAGAATACCACAATGTTTACCGGGAAAAAAACAAAGCTTGGAGTCTGGCCTAGAGAGTAATTTGCATCTAGATGGTCATGAAATGGTAACATTGCATTCTTCAGAATTAAACCTAGGTTTTCAAATAAGCACTCAGAAAGAACCCACAACTTCACCCTCAAAGTGTTAAATAAGACATGTATGGAATATAATCCTTGCCAGGAAACCCACTATATCAACTGTGAAATATGCGTTCAGACTGAAAAATTAACAGAGGTTTTTTTTGGTCTTGTTTTGTTTTTGCTACTGAAGAAACTTCAAATTCTAAAATATGGCCTTATTAGTGAATTCCTTTCAACCTGTACAATGAATTTAAGCACACTTAATGACAGGAACTTAAACAAAAAACAACAAAAACTCCACAAACCAGCACCCCCCCAACACACACTATCCAGTCAAAGAGTCAATTTCAGATGTACAATTTTTCACTGGCAAAGATGATCCTTTTTTGTTAGATGTGTGTAAAGCTCTCTCAACGCTATGCGAGTAACAGCATGACTGACTGAAGTGAAATACAGGTCTCAGGTTATTTTAAAACCACTCCAAACTGAGTTTTGTATAGTTCCCACTTTTCCTGTGAAGTTATAGTCTATTCTATCAGAAGCTTTTAAATGGTTTTGCTTTCAAGAAATTCTCCAACCTTCTTAAGAAAAAGGGATCTGGAATTCTTCTGTAGACTAGGGTTACTGAATTCTTAGTAAATATTTACCAAAGTGTTTCGTTGCAATATGCCCAGTGTGACAGAGCTGTTTGGTATCTAGTGAAATCTTACGTATAAAAATACACTGATAACTCAGTTACTCACAAGTTTCAGGGGAGATTTTTAAAATTTGTTTATTTTTCTTGCTTACCTCTTAATAATGTATTCATAGATGTGGGAAGGCATTACAGTAATGGTCACCACATTCCCAGCTGTTGCCAAGATGTCTGCAATCTGGGAGTCCTGTAATTAAAAGAAAACAGGAAGCCATGTTAGTTACTTCCCTGAGATAGCAAGTCTTTTTGCAATTTAAAAAAAAAAATCTGGACAGTCCAAGGCCATTTTTGCAGCATTCTTACTAAACCAGGGGTGTTAAGATTGGGGGGAGGGGAGAGGGGTGTCAGTTCATCTAAATACTGAAAACCAGCATAGATCTGAGCAAATTTCTGCCAAAGAAGTTCCATAAACCTAGTTAATCTTTGTCCTCTCTCCCCTATGAGAGTTACAGTAATGCACTCATCTCCTGTTCTTTGACACAGATCTAGTTAGTCGCCTGTCCTCAAATAATAGGATCTAGCTCAGAGTCACGCAACCCTATCACTCAGTTTTCCTCTTGCACTGAACTGCCAAGAAGCAACTGATTATAGGACTTCAAGTAAAGCATAGTCTAATGTTATGGCATTTTGTGTGTGCATGTGTTTAAGACCCGGCCCGCCCCTCCAAACCAGCCACACAACCCCTACAATTACTTTGATGTACTAAATCAGGCTTGTCCAACATACGGCCTGCAGGCCGCCATGCGGCCCACCAAGCCATTTTATCCGCCCCGAGGTGGTGGCGGTAGCGCTGCCGTGGAGCGTGGAATGGCCGGCAGCACCACTGTGGAGCACAGAGGCAGCAGGGCAGTGGCGAGGCGGACACAGCTGGCCC